ACAGCTACCAGACTGTTGACTCGTGTCACTTTGTAGAACTTGGTGACTTTGTTGTTTTAACATTTTAGTTTGCATGTTCTCGTGTGTGTTCTGTGAGGACAAATATGAACTTTTAAGGTGGTTTAGTTCTCAGGGGACTAAAGTCATGGCTGTGGGACAAGAATTCATATTTTCACACACAAACTCAAAGTTTATAAATGTCTCAAACACAAGCAGAGAGATGTAAACCAGCTCCTGCTTGATTCTGGAGTTGATGAGTGAAGACGCACATCACCGTACGGCTTTACCTCAGTGTAGCTCTTTCACACAACACAGGCAGGTAGTTGAAGCAGTGTCTCTCTGAACTGCACGGATTCTGAAACCAGCTCATCTACATGTTTTCAGGTGCTCCTGCATTTGCGTCCATAAATAACCTGAACTGTGTGCTGTGCTATAGATCCAATCACTGTTGTATAGCTGTGGTCATAGGACCAGGACTAATTAGTGGAAAATCAGTTGTGCAGCGTGGCCCCCACCCCACCCTTCAAGCCCAGTGTAAATAATTGAAACAGCAGCAGGCAGAAAGCTTTTCTGTTTCAAAGAATCAGCGCTAATGAATTCCAGCAGATTCGGTTTTCCTGAAATTTATTTGATGCAGCTTCCCTTAATTATTTTTTGTTATACTTCTAATCAAAGTCACAGCGGGAGCTGCTTGTGAATTTTAATTTAGAAAAACCAATTAATTCAGCTGCAGGAGCCGCTCGGCAGTGCTCTCCACAAAGCAAATCCCAAAGAAAAATATAAGATCATCGGAAGCGGGTCTGCTCTCGCATTTAAAACACTCAGAGAGCTGCAGGGAACTAAATTTGTCCAGCTTCAGTTTAGTGTACTGGTAGCAGTGGGGGTCTTTGTTTTTAAAGTATTACATGTAATGCGTCCATTCATCAGACACAAACGAACATCAGCAGCTGATAAATGGATGTCATTAAATTCCAGGAGCAGCTAGTTTAATGGAAATTAAATAAATTTTGTGTGATTACAAATTAAATTGTCCCCATATGACAGTATTGTGAGTTCTTTCTTCAGGTTCCAAAGTGCTGCGGATCACTGTGTCACACTCTGAATCAGCC